CAGTGGGTGGACGAGAACGTGGCCCCAGGTGAGGCTGCCGGTGCGCTCCGCTGCCCAGGCCTGAGGGGGCGGGCTGGGGGCGCAGGGTCCCTTGCTCCTCCCCCTCGGTCACTGCCCACAAGGTCTCGGGCACTTGCTGTGTGCCCGGCACTGAGCCGTCGCCCTGTTCACGCGTCCTCTTCCGTCGGGTAAGCGTCGTGACTACGGCTGTGCAGACCAGGAAGGTGCACCCTGACTGATGGGGTGACTTGCCTGGGGTCACACAGCCCAAGCCTTGAACGTGGGCTGCCTGATGCCACGGCCTGTGCAGCCTTTGTGAACCTGTAGGGTCTATACTGTGAGCCTCGTTTCTTACGGTGAAGGCCCTGGCCCTGATGTCGAGAACCTGCCCCAGGTTACAGAACTTGGGTCCGGGGCCCCAGAAGTGGGGAGAGCAGCCACTTGGACACCAGGTCAGCGTAGATGATACACCTGGAGGCACCTGCTCCCCCGGGACACAGCGGATGCCTCACCACACATCTAAGGGTGACCGAGAGGCCCGGTGGGATCTTTGTGGTGAGACAAGGCTGGTTCCCAGGCTGCATGTGTGACCTTGAACGGATGGCTTTTCGGCCTGTTTCTGCAATAGGATGGGCGCCCCCTGCCTCTCTCGGAGTCCCTGTTCACTTAGTGTCAGACTGTGATTCTGGTGCACGTGTCGCCACGGTCGTTTGTCAGCCCCGCAATGCCTGGAGGCATCGGGGTTCCTGCAGGGAAGGCAGAAGCAGTGCCGCCTCCGCACGCCCTCAGGCGGCTGCTGGCGGGGCCCCCCTCCCTGGGGCAGTGCGCCGTGAGGCTGTCAGGGCTCAGGGTCTGTCTGGACGGCCGCGAGGGGCCCTGCTACACTCATCCTTGCCCCCGCTCTCCCCACAGGGACTTTGGGAGGCCCAACCTGGTCAGGAGGTGGAGGAAGAACCCAGGGGCCGGAGGCCAGAAGCAAGAGAGCCCGGGCCGGTTCCTCAGACGCGGGGTCCGTGGCCAAGAAGCCCCGGAAGTGCAGCCTTTGTCACCAGCCTGGGCACACCCGCCCCTTCTGTCCCCAGAACAGATGAGGCCAGGGTAGGGGCCAGAGAGCCACTTCCTCCACCTGCCCCTTCCACCTCCAGAAGTGGTGGATCCTGAAGTCTGGCCTATATGCTAAGAAGTCAGGATCCAGACCACGCTCTTGAGAAGTGGCCCTCTGCCTGGGGCTCAGGAACAGCTGTGGCCCCTGCCGAGAAGTCATGGAAGCTGCTCCTGTGGTCCCCTGGGGGCTGTGCTGTTAACGCGTTGGCAAAAGTCAGCGCGCCCAGCAGCTGAGCCTGCGGCCTGGGGTTGGGTGGCCTGCACGGGGCCTCCCTCCACAGACGTCCCAAGGAGGGGACAAGGCCAGGCGGTGGCTCTTGTTCTGAAGCTGCACCCACAGAAGCAGGTTCATTCCCCTTTACCAGGGAACTGCTGCGGCCAGGACGCCCGCAGCTCGTGTGCCTTAATGAAGGATTCTGCCCCTTGACCCCAGCAGGTGACAGTGTGGCGTCTGGTGAATATTGGCAGGAGCCATGGGTACGGACATCACCCAGAGCCTGGCGGCCCTCCCGCCGTCTGCTGGCCCACATGGCCTCCCTCAGCCCGGCCCCGCTCCCTGTCCACGTGGTCGGCAGTGAGTCCAGCTCTCCTGGCCCCACCGTGGTCCTATGGGTCAGAGAGGAGCTGGTGTGAGATTCAGATCTCTCCACACCGTGCAGAGCCTGCCACATGCCTCATGTGTCCTCACAAAACCTCGGGAACAATACATAGCCATGTTGGCTTCGTTCTGTGGTTTGGACAACACACAGGAATAGGCTGTGAGTTGCGCAGAGTCATGTTGCTCATGGGTGAAGCAATGAACTGTCCTCAGGCCTTGGGACTCCAGGCTCCTACCCTTCCTGGATACCAGCGCTCCACCCTGGCTGGACAGCAGGATGCCTGGACTCGCTCCAGGAGCGTCTGGTCGGCGGGTGTGGGTCACGGCCCTGCGGCCCAGCCTGCTCCATCTCCGTGGTTTCACCTCTTCTGAATGTTCCGTATACGTGGAGCCATATGGGACGTGGCCCTGTGTCTGCTGCTTCCTCTGGGCGTCGTGTCTTCCAGGGTCACCCCTGTGGTCCTGTATTCAGTGCTCTGTCCTTTCTATGACTGAGTGATGTTCCATGGTGTGGCTGGACCACAATTTGTTCATCTGTTCTTCAGTTGATGGACACTTGGGCTGTTTCCACCTCCCAGCTGTCATGAGCAGTGTTGCTATAAACCTTGTACGAGCGTTTAAACACCTGTCGTGTTCCTTTAGGTCTGTACCTAGGAGTGGAGTTGCTGGGTCATGAGAGTCTGTGTTTAACTTTTGAAGAAGCACTAAACTTTTCCAGGGCAGCTGCACCGTTTTGCGTGCTCAGTGGCCCTGTGAGAGGGCTCCTGTTTTTTCACGTCCTTCCCACGCTTATTTCCCGTTTTTTCCTTTTTTAAAAAAAAATTTTGGCCATCCTGGTGGGTGTGCAGTGCTGTCTCGTGGTTTGGGCTTGTTTTCCTAACGGCGGTAGATGTCGCACAACCTTTGGGTGCTTCTCTGGCCTTTGGATTTCAGTCCCGCCTCTGAACACAGTCCCTCCCTTCTCGGCATTAACCACGAGGCTTCCGTGGGGGAACAGGCTCCTTCCTTTTCGCCCCTGGCTGCGCCCACACACCCTCCAGCCCCTTCAGCTGTCTCCGTGCGGCCAGCCCCCATCCTCTCGAGTCTGTCGCCTGAAGCCCCAGTGTTGGCACCCAGACCCCGCACACCTGCAGATGCACACCTTGGGCTGGGTGTGCGGTGGGCTGGCCCGGGCCAGCTGTGCTGGTCTCTGTTCTGCACATCGGCCGCTGCGCACTCCTCCGAGCCCAAGGCTCCCTCTGCCCCTGTTGGGCACCCTGAGCTCCCCGCCGGTGGATGGGCCTCCAGGGTGAGGCCCTGTTCCCCTCTCATCCCCCTCCCAGGGGCGCAGGTCCTGTCCTGATTCTTTTTCCCTTTGTCCTACCCGGTTACCTGGTGATCTTTCCTGCAGTTTTGGTTTTATGAGATTTCTTGCCAGCATTCAGCAGGAGTTCTGTGAGAACTGTTCCACGTGTAGGTGTATTTCTGGTGTATTTGTGGGAGGCGGTGAGCTCAGCGTCCTCCTGTTCCACTGTCTGGATCCGGCCCCTTGCCTGTCTTCCAGGCGTTGGTGTGTTTGGTGTTGAGCTGCAGGGTGCTAGACGCACTTGTGGATTTTAGTCTTCCTGCAGGTATCTCCTGTGTGCTCAGGGCCAGGACTGCTGGACGAGATAGGGCCAAGGGCAGCCACACGAGGGTCTGCCTGCCCACCGCCTGCTATGCCTTCGCCACTCGAAGCTGTGCGGAGGTCCCCTCGCGACGGCGGGGCTCAGTGCAGGGAGAAATGGGCCCGCCCAGCTGACGACACTGGGACGGTCTGAGCCGCCCATTCCCGAGCCCTGGGTGCCCCTGGGTTCACGCAGCGCTTCTGGCTCCCAGCCCCCCTGCAGGGAGCAGGCTGCAGAGGTGAACGCCCGCCCTCTGAGCAGCTGAGCTGGGACTGGGGTGACGTCTCGGGGCGACGTCTCGGGACAACTAGGTGGAGGCCCCGCTCTCCTCGGGGTGAGTCGCCTCTGCCTCCAGGGCCTCAGACCCCAGGGATCACAGGAGGTCCAGTTCAGCTCGCAGGCAGGAGAGGCCATGGTGCACCAGCAGCATTCGTGCTGGGAGGGCCACTGGGTCAGCCTGGAAAGTTCGCTGTGAGGTCACATAAGCGAATATGCCTGAGCCCCAGCAGTCTGACCTGCTGTGTCAGGAAACGGGCAGCAGTGCCAGGAGGACCCAAACCGCGTCCAGAGCCATCGTGCTGGCCTGGTCGCAGCCTGGGGTTCGTCACCATGCCTCAGCGTGTGTCTTCAATGAACTAGGTGCAACCAAACTGCGACATTACTGGGTTTTTTTTAAAAAGATTATCTTTATTTTTCTGATTACAAAAGAGAAATGCAAAGGTGTCAGGCTTCTGTGACACATCAGGTTGAAGGCCACTTGTCTTGAAGGGACGCAGGCAGACGTAGGGCAGGGGCCCTGGCTTAGGGGCTGCTGGGTGAACCGTGACCTGACCCCGGGCCCTCCCTGTCCCCAGAGGAGGTGCCCGCGGGCTCTAAGGCTCAGCTCGGTCCCAGGCTGGAGGAGAAGGGACCTTTGGGATCAGAAGTCGGGAAGGGCTTTCCACGTGCGGCTTGTCCACCAGCTGGGGCGGGTCTCCGGACAGCCTGCCCTGAAGATCTCCCAACCAGGTGGGGTCTCCCAAGAGGAGGCTCGGGAGCAGGTGTCGCGGCTGCCTTTCCCATCCTGCTGCAGCCCGGCCGGTCGGGGCCCTGGTACTTTGGGGCTGGTTTTTCAGCCTGCTGACTGCAGCCCCCCAGGTTTGGCAAGATACCTGGGACCCTGAGCCACCCGTGTGCGCTCGCCACACCCACAGCCTCCAGCGAGAAAGCTCATGCAGGCTTTCATCAGGGCCTCTTCTGTTCAGTGACCGCACAGCTGAGCCCACAGGACAGGCCCGCTTTGCGGGTGAGGGCTGGTCTGCAGCTGAGCTGTCCTGCGGGGCCGTGCTCGGGAGCAGATGCCCAGGAGTCTGTCTTCTGTACCTAAGCTTGAGGCGTGTTAGGGTGGAGGAGACACAGGCGGTGCCTTGTAAATCAGCTTCTGCTTGCTGCTTTGGGGTCACTTCTCTCATCCACGTGGGCTGCCAGGCCACTCTGGCAGGTGGCATCACCGCCACACTCCCAACTCCTGGTCACTCGGTAAAGCCAAGGACGAGGGTTGCCTGGCTTTGCACCCCAGCCGAAGGGCCTGCCACGCTGAGCTGGAACCATCCTTTGTTACAAGGGAGACAGCGACGCAGCAGCGGCCCCACACAGCCAGCCTGGCACCCAGGAGCCCACGGGAGGCCCCGACGGGACGGCGGGTCCGGGCCTGTGCCGGACGCTGGCCTTGTCAGGGTCTCCCCACAAGCATCTGGCTTCTTCCTTGGTCCATCCTGGCTGCTTCTTACTAAAATCATGGTGTGAGGGGAAACTGAAGCATGAGGCTGCCACAGGCTCCCACGTGTGGGGTCGGATCATCTAAGGAGGGCTCTGACCCCAGTGCGTCTCATCTGCTCCCCGGCCAGGCCTTCCCCAGTCGGCACCCGAGGCCCCCGCCCCCGGTCAGACACAGGCCTGCAGGGGGAGCCCTGACCGCCTGGGTCTCGTGTCCGAGAGCTCTGGTTTGGGGGCAGTTCACCTTGTGCCAGGCTCCCACTGCCACTCTAGAACCACTTTATAGGGGAGAAGGCCATGGCTGCCTCTGCCTCCAGCCTGTCCCCTGGCTGACCCTCCACTGCTCACAGCTGTGTGCCAAGAGCACTCAGGGAAGCCAGTCTCCCTCCTTCTGACCCCCTGTGGAGCCTGACGGAGTGCCCCCGAGGCAGAGCCCACTGCCCTGCACAGGCAGGTAGGTACACACAAGCATCTTGTCTGCCCTGTGCGCTGGCCCTCGGATGAAGGCGGCTCCTTGGTGTACATGGGGTGGAGGAGGAAAAGCCAGAGGGCCCTGGCACAGCGGTGGGGCCTCAGCTCAAGTGCCCCAAGCCCTCCCCAGGCCTCACCTGCCATCTGTGGTGACAAGTGAGCCCAGCCACCGTTCCTGTGGGGACAGACACACCTGCTGCCCTACCTGTGCACGTCAGGGAGCCTGCCTTCAACTTGTGGGGTCACGTTTCTCTGCCACCCCACAAGGCTGGCTGAAGGGCTCCGGGCAGCACCTCCCATCCCAGGAAGCACAGGGGCTCCAGGGGTCAGGCTTCCGGGAAGAAACGAGACCCTAGCCAGTCTGTTCCTGTGACTATAGCAACACGTCACCTCCAGGAACCGTGTAACATTCTTGCTCCACAGAATCCACTTTTCCACTGAAATCCATCTCCTCCAGGCTGAGCCCGAGCCCCTCCAGCGAGATTACAGAACTGGAACATTGCATATAAGAGCCCAGTGTGTCCTACGGATGCTTAAGTTTTTGCTTTTATTCTTGTTCAGTTCTCGAGGCATAGCTTTGCTTCAGGAGGAAGGATACCAGAGACAGGAGATAAGCCCAGGAGGGGAGGCAGGCCCCTCCCCAGCCCCCTCCCCTGCCAGGCCTCAGGGCGAGCACAGGGTCAGCTAGCAAAGCTGGTATTGGCACCGCAGGGCGGGCCCAGCAGGGCCAGGGGACACCCTCCGCTCGGGGCCCAGTGGGCGGCACAGAGAACTTCAGCTCAGGACTTGTGCAGCCGTGGCAGCGGGGGGGGGGGCGGGCGGGGAGGCCTTCCCTGAGGTGTGACGTGAGAGCCCCCGCTCCAGCTACAGAGCTGGGCCAGCAAACCGGACACACGTGGCCTTTAAATCAGACGAAAGCTGCATTCCGCGGGTTCTAGGCAACTCCGGTCCTTGGGGGACAAAACACGCACAGCGTCCACCGAGGCTGGCACCCGAGGAAAGCAGGACTCCCTCTGGACAGAAAATCAGCGTGGCCTTATCCCGTGCCTAGGACAGTAGGAGCTTTGTTCTGTCTGTGGATTCCCTGCTGGTGATGAGGCCTCAGGGTCGGCCCCAAGGCCGGGTCGGGGCAAGTGGGGGCCCCGCTCAGGCCTCCCACAACATGAGCTAAGCCATCCTCTGGCTAAAAACAGAAAGGTGCTCTGGAACCCCTGGAGGGAGCATGTGCAGCTCACCAGCGTTCGTGCCCCACGCCACCCCAGAGCAGCCCCTCGGGGGCCTGCAGGCCACAGTACAGGGCGTAGCCCAGGTCCTCGACTTCCTCCTCCCGCAGGCCGCCCAGCAGGTTCACGCCGGGGTTGAAGTGGCAGGGCAGGCTGGCCTGCTCCAGGCTGCCAATGAGCAGCTCCAGGGCCTGCAGGAAGCGCTCCCCCAGGGCCTCCTCAGCCCAGTCCGCCTCCTCCTCCCCTAGGCGCAGAACCACCTGGGTCAGGTGGCTGCGACCCAGACGCCACAGGACAGAGTGGCCGCGGCAGACACCGCAAAGCAACAGCAGTAGCCGCCGGCGGGTCCCAGTGTCACCAGCATCCAGGGCCCGCAGCCTGGCGGCCTCCGCCGGGTACAAGTCCTGCAGCCAGAGGTTCCCCGCCAGCCCCTCCAGGGGCCAGGCCAGCAGGAGGCGGTCTCCGGCCTGGGCCCCGGTGACGGCCAGGAGCACAGCCACGGTGAGCTCCAGGCGCTCGTGCTGCACCTCAAGCAGCAGCTCCTCCGAGGCCACGCGGGGCCGAATCAGGCACCCGAGCAGGCTGCCAATGGCCGGCCAGTTGACGGAGGCGGTCAGGGCCTTGCGGAGCAGCTCCAGCAGCACCCGGGAGGAGAGGTAGCCGCCTACCAGGAAGCGGTCCCAGGGGCTGCTCCCCCGGGGGTGGAACTCCAGCTGAGTCCTGCGCACCGCCCAGCAGCGAGGGTCCCTGGCCACAGTGTCCGTGCCAGGCACCAGGCTCCACAGGCCTGGCTCCAGGGCCAGGGGCACCAGGAGGCGCACAGGGTCGGCAGCCCCCGCCTGCAGCCCATCAAAGAGTGGCCCGCCGGGCACGACTGCCCCAAAGGGCAGTGCGGGGAACTTGCTTCGCAGGTAGGCCTGCAGCTCCAGAGCAACATCGCCAGCCAGCTGTTTGGCCAGAGCCACATGGGCCACAGGGATGGTCACATGGTCCTGCTCAAATGCCAGCAGCTTCTCCTGGAACGTCAGGCACGGCGGTGCTGGGGAGCTGAGCCGAGGCGCCCCTGGAGCATCTGCACCTGCGGGCCCCGCTGGGAGGAAGGGGCCGGGGACCAGGTCAGGGGCTGTCACCAGCCAAGAGAGCTCTGCCCAGTTACTAGCTGCGTCCCTCCCTGGTAATGACACCTGAGAAGGCCCTTAGCCAGGTCCTCACGGACAGCAGGGCTCTGAGGCCGAGCCTGCTTCACAGAGGGTGGGAGACAGGCTCCAGGTCTTGTGTCCCCATCTGAGGTCCCCCCACCATCAGAATGCTGCCACCCCCCATGGCCCACACATCCTGGTGGCCACAGTGCCACCCAGGAGGTAGAAAAACAGAGAAACATGACACCATTAAACATGCAGGAACCTGCGTGGTCACGCTGTCGGTCAGTGGCAGAGCCTGGGCCGCATCTCCTGAATGTGACCACCAAAGGGGGGCTCATCCAGGGCAGAGGAGGAGTGCGGCTCACCTGGGGCGGAGGGTGAGCGGGCCGGGAGCGGCGTGGGCTGGCTGAGGGCAGCAGGTGGGGGCCGCGGCTGCAGGCGTGGCGTGGCCTTGAGCAGGCTCAGTTCCTTCCAGCTGTCCTCCAGGCATGTGGCGTCCCCCTTGACATCATCCTCGTCCCGAGAGCTGGTGGCCCTGTCGATGAGCTGCAGACAGAGGGACACGGACAAGAGCGTCTAAAACCTGGGTGGCCACAGCAAAGCCAAGGGCAGAGCAAACCAGGCCACTGGGGTGGAGGCAGCTGCAGCCTCGGGTAGCCCCACTACCCCTGGCCCTGCTTGGGGAGCCCCAGGGTCCCCAGGCCACCCCAGCCTTACCCGTTTCACAGCCAGGGTGGCGATGCCCAGCACGGCAGCCCCGCCCACACCCAGCACCAGGCGGGCGTTGGCCAGGAGAAAGTCCACAGCGCCACCCAGCACCTCACCATCCCGCCGCTTGCCCCGATTCTGGGAGAGCTCCGCCATGGTGGATCCAGCTGCAAGAGAGCCAGGATGCAGGGACCACTCAGCGAGGGGGCGGCCAGCAGGGCAGCAGGGCAGGCACTCTGGCTGTCGTCCTGCTGGGGTCAGAGTTGAGCCCACGAGGGGGCTTCCTGAGAATTTCTCGGGAGAAAGGGACACCTTTCAGGGTTTCCTGGGAGGAGGTTGGGAGCTGCCCAAGCCCCCTCCCCAAACCTGCAAACAGCCTACCCCCTGGGAGGGCGGGGTCACGGAGAAAGGCCCTCAGATTCATGGCAGTTCAGGGAAAGGGGAGCATCTTCCCCACCCCACCCTCCAAGACCTCTGATACCACCAAAGCCCGTGAGGTGGGTCTTACCGTCACCAAAGCCCGTTTGACAAAGAAACAGGCTGCTTGGCCACACAGCGAGTGGCAGGGACTGCAGACCCTCACCCACACACACGGCCAGGCCCCAGGGGCAGCCCCCATTCTGGGTCCTAACTGGGGCTGGCACAGCAGGAGGAAACCAAGGCCCGGAGAAGACTGCGGCTTGGGGTCCTATGCAGCCTGCCCCAGATAGCCTGTCATACCTTTGGGGGGACCCTGGTAAAGCTCAAGAGGCCACAGTTACCCCCCCCAAATCTCAGCAGCCCCCAGAGGCAGAGCTACCAAGTCAGAGGACAGAACAAGGGCGATGGCCCAGGCTGCCCAGGGGGCGGGAGCTGGCTGTCGACAGGTATGTGCCAGACCAGGCTGAAGGCTCTGCTGGGGGAGCGGCAAAGTGTCCCTAAAGACACCAAGCAGGGCTGGCCCACTGCCTTGGACAGGGGCCTCTCGGGCCTGGGACAGTGGTGGGAGGTGAGCCATCCTCAGCTGCCAGGAATCCAGACAACAGAGGGCAAACTAAGGGCCCAAAACCCCACTGTTTGCTCGCCTACAAAACAGCACAGGTGTGGTGAGAAAGGTTAAAGGGGGGAGCCCAGAAGTGTGGGGCTGGGAGGACAGGCATCTCTGCCAGGGACCGTGGGCCAGGCCCAGCCCTGGGTTTATCCAGGGGACTGCTGCTCTCAGATCCTAGGCGCTGAGGGGGTGTGTGACTAAGGGACAAGCCCAGGGGACCAGTCAGGTGGCCAGGCAGGACTGTCTCACTGAGGACACGCAAATGACCCTGAGCTCAGAGCCAACTCAGCTCCAAGGACTTCTGCCTGCCCTGCTGCAGCGGGTGCCTCAGCCTGCTTGCCAGGTGAGGCCTGCAGCCCGGCACCGCCGCCCGCTCCCGGGCTAAAAATAGGAAAGAGGGCCAGGGGGTGACCCAGCACGGCCCTGTGGCCGGCTTCCTCGTCCGGGATCAGTATTGCCACCCGCCTCCAAACTGTAAAGCGCTCGAAGACCCCACCTGTCTGACCGGGGACGCCGCCCAGCCTCCGGGTCGCGCAGACCCCAGCCCGGGAAGAGGAGAGGGCGCAGCTGGGCCTCCCCTCCTCCTCCAAGCCGCGGCCAGCGAAGGAATCGGGGCCCTGGGGACGCCGGGATGGACCCAAGACCGGCCCCGAGCTCGGTCCTTCCCCAGTGCCCCCTTTCCGGGCCGGCGCCGCGCGCCCGGCGGAGGCCACGCCCCCGCGCTCCGGCCGTACCTACGTCGCGGCTTCGGCGCACCGGCCGGCGGACGCAAGGGGCCCGCTAAGGCCGCGCACCCCGGGGCCGTCTGGGAATGTAACGTGGAGGACTCGGGAACCGAACGCCGAGGCCCGGGGGGCGGGCTCGGGCCCGGCGCTCGCTGACCGGCAGGCGCTGGCTCCAATCGGAGCGCTCGAGGTGCCTTCCCACGTGCCTCCCTGCCGCGCGCTCGGCCAGTGGCGACGGCGCGCTCCTCGGGGGTGGTGCTCCCCGGCGCGCTCTGCCTTAAAGGCGCAGGTCTGCGCTGCGCGCTCGGCCGGCGGGAAGGCGAGCTTCCTCCGGGTCCCTTGGTCACTGTGGCCTGCGGCCGCTTACCATGAAAGGGACACGGGCCCCGTCACCCACTGCGACCGCCCTCTAGGGTGACGAGCGGGCATGTAACCGCGCACCCGGCATCCGAGCAAGGACGCCGAGGAGCTCGGGCTGCGCCCCGGGGAGCGTCTCACCGGAGGGAGGGCCCGCGGCTCCCGCACGAAGACCCGGGCGTCCTACTGCCGCTGCCGCCGAGCGCCCGGGTCGGGGTCCAGAACCACCGGGGTCCCGCGCACCGGCCGGCGGAGGGGACAGCGCCCGCGGGCCGAGAAG